ATCGGTCTGCTTGGCCTTGATGCTTCTACTTGCCTTTCACATGCTTGGTCGGCATAGTCAACGACGGTGATTCGTGTTACTGAAGGAGGAAGGACGGGGACGACCACGAAGACGTTCAAGACTGGGAGGCTGGTATGGTATTTATCAAAAACAAAAATTGTAGTTGAGCTTGGATTCAGGTTTATGTACCAGCTAGAACTACGATGAAATCATGCAATATCCGAACGACCACTACTTGAACGAGAACTACCCGAGAACTCATCTTCATCTTTCACTTCGAACTCGGTCGCTTCGAACACCACGCTTGCTCTAGTCGCAATAGTTTTGTATCTGTCGACTCGATCATCACTGAAAATGGCGTGCGGGAGAATGACGTACGATTTCCCTTTGCTGGTTGTGGGAACCTTGCCATCGTGAATACGGCGATTTGTACGCCAATTCAAATCCTTGAGGTCTTTCCACTCGTCCTCGGTGAAGAAGCTTGGCAATGGTTCACTGGTCAACTGCCTCCCTCTCTTCAGACGAAAACCCCATTCATCATTTTTGACAGCACTGAAGACGTCGCCAATTGTCGCGACATCACCATAACTGCACTCAAAGTCGTACAGCGTGGCGAGATTCTGCGCCAACGCATCCAAGAACTTGCGACACGAAGCTTCGGTGCTCATTCCCTTGTATCGCAGTTGCTTCTTGATTGAAGCAGCTTGTTGCTGAGTTAGAACCACCACCAACACATGAATGGTCTTCTTCGTCGGAGCATCACCAAACAAGTCACCAATCTCGTCTGCTGGATCCATTTCCACGTCCAGCAGTGCCTTGACTTGCTCGGGAACACCCCCACTCCGCATAGCAATCACGGCAGGATCCTTCGACTTCAGCCACGCGCCGTCTTTCTTCGCCAGAAAGAGCTGCAGGTTCTTCGGAGCGACATTTTTCAGGATTGGGTCGTCCGAGTTCTCCTCCTTGATCGCCTTCTTCAATTCATCCACCGTTTTGCCTTCGTCAATTTCCACCGAGAACGCGCTTCCCGCCACACCAACAATCGCACAGAAGAGCTTCACCATCTTTCCTCGAGCCGGCGGATTCTGGAATGAGA